AGTTTGCAGTGACAGCACGGATCTCTAAAGCTGTCATTGTAAATGAAATTACACCAATCAGGCATAATATTATGACCACCTCCTTGTTTCTACGCTCATGGTCACAGCACTGCTGTGTCTGATCCACTCGTACCAGCACAACACACACTAACACACCACCACCACGTCAGTGTTACTACAGTGCTGAGAATGATCCACCACCCAAATAATACCTGCTCTGTGAGGGTCCATGGGGGTCCTGACCACTGTAGAACAGGGTAAAAGGGGGCTAACAAAGTATCAGAGAAACAGATGGACTACAGTCTGTAACTGTAGAACTACAAAGTGCACCTATATAGTAAGTGGAGCTGATAAAATGGACAATGAGCGTAGAAACAAGGAGGTGGTCATAATGTTATGCCTGATTGGTGTATGCACATATATATATATATAATATATATATGTATGTGTGTGTGTGTGTGTGTGTGTGTGTGTGTGTGTGTATGAGGCACTACATCAGTGCTTGTAGTCAGGCTTTCTTTATCCATTTGGTGGTATTTTAAAAAGTTGTAGGACGTATTTGTACAATAAGAATAATTTATTGGAAAAATATAAACTAGAAAGCTTTTAAAAAGCTAATTACCAACTGCTGGTCAATTTTAATCAATACTTTTGTTTTTTCTGCGTTTGATTAAGTAATCATGACAGCCCAGATACTTTTCATCATTCACTTGTAGCATTAAAAGGCCAAAGGCCAATATCAGGGCAATGTCCTCACTTTTCAAAATAAAAGTCTAATGTAGTATGTAAACACTGTTAGAGTTGAAGACGTACCATTCACTACACCCAGTCTAAACAGTTCATATGTGGAAACTAAGTTAAAAAAACCAGCTTGTCTTAAGTCTTAAAGGCACAGTAACATAGCAGCCTGTTTAATTGTAAGAGCTAAAGATAGTTTGGAAAACAGTCATGTAAACATGAATTATGATTCATTTTGGGACATAAAGTCATGCAGATGTTTCAAGTGGATGTCATGGGAAAAAATAAAATACAAGAGAAATGTCTGATATGGGCCCCTTAAAAAGACTCTCAGAGACACACATCCGTTACATCCGCTTTGACAGTGCTGGGCTCACTGTAGCTGCTGAATCATGCTTCCTGCTCTCCTCCCGTCTTTGGCTGTGTCTCACTGCTCTTCTTGTTTCTTTCAACAGCTCCTGCCAGAGAATCGTCCTAGAGTCGGTCTTCCACAGTGGGATAGAAAAACCTGGCTGATAGTTGTTGGAGTCTTTATTGCGATATGTGTTGTGGTACTTGTTGTGCTTCTTGCTTACTTCCTTTCCCACGAAAACCCCTAGATCAACAAGTCTGACTGTGGCTTTACAGGGACATTTAAAATGCACAAAGATTAAAAGAAAAGATGCTTCTGTATGGATCATTATAATATCCATATGCGAGTATTGGTACCACTTTAGAATAAGAGTACCCTAATAAAAGGGTCTATGAATGGTTTAAAATTAGTTTAGTAATGGTGATTAGTTAAGTCATAAACACCTTAAAAACCATGAATAAACAGGTAAAATCAGTAAATCAGTAAAACTGGTGAAACTAAGCGTTTATATCTGATGCAAATCAATGTGTGATAAAGCCGACAGGTTTAATACCGACTGATGAAAAAGTAAGACCAACAAACCAGCACACATATATATATATGCACACACACACACACACATACATGTATATATAATTATATAAAAATATATGTAAATTTAATATCACCTACCTTTTTATCATGGTTTACAATATTGCCGCAATAATGCATTAAACATCTGCTAAAACATCTGTACGAACTTCAGGTAAAGAGTGTAACAGTGTAGTGGGAGCAGATCTGTGCACCTAAAAATGCTCTGACTAAAACGCAGTGGCGATATTTTAAAGTGTCCACGATAACAGTATTGTGTGTAATCGCTTCATATCACAGTGTCAGCAACATCACATTATGCCTTATTATTGAATGTCGGCACATGCTCAGTGTGTTACTACACTGCTAGTGAACAGTGGGTGAAAAATCATTGCTTTTTAAATTTTAACATTTTTTGAAAGACTTCAGTTGTGGGTCTATCCTTTGGGAATTCTGAGGAGCAGACGTTTCCCCAGTTTCTCTCCCTGATTCCTGAGCGTGGAAGTGCCTCAGTGAGTGCCTTAAGAGCTTTAAAACTTGGATGGCCAACAACTAGATGTGTGTAAAACCACATCTGGACCTCAAATCTGTTTTAAATTCTGTTGTTAAGGGTAGCTGCTCTTTATCAAACTGTATATGATCTCATCTAAGTATATTTTGAAGTGTTTTGTCTCTAACCAGTGTTTTTTCTCATACTTGTATAGAAATGAACAGTGCAATACTTGGAAAAGTATGTGAAAATTAAATATCAAAACCCATTTATACTGATTTTTTGTTGTGTGTGAGTCTTTTAGTGAGATGATACTACACTGTTAACAAAGATGGTTCCTTTGCATGATTAAAGGGTTCTTTGTATCGCACAATGGTTCATCAGATTATTGGAGAATGTGGTGTATATGGTTCTATATAGAACCATTTTGAAAGGGTTCTAAATGGCACCAAAAAGGGATCTTCGATTGGGACACGCTTGACATCGTAACAATAGGAGAACCCTTTTTGGTGCTACAAAAAGGTTCGATAATAAATCAATATTTATTAGAGGCCATGCATTACTGTGGTTTTATCCCGGGAAGGGTGTTCTTAGGCACGATGTGAAGCTTTTATAATGGTGGGCAACATAAAATGAGATAAAATATACAATTTTTTAGAAAATAAGTAATTAGTTATAGTGAAGTTTTAAACTTTTTGTCGTATAACAAAGAACATATGATAACAGCACTGTTTAATACAGAAACCTTCACTGTATAAGTGCTTTTTGGTCACCGAATCACCATGGCAGGTCTTATTTAGCACCAATCCAGCGACGCCCCTCTTCTCACGCTGGGGCTGAATCTCAAACGGCTCCCTGCTCCCTACATAGTGCACTACGTAGGAGTTTAAATACTGGATCCTGCAGCCCAACAGAGCAAAATACAGCTATGAAACAGTCATTTGGGACTCAGACTCATCCACACTCGATACATGATGAACTGTTTGGCTGTAGAGGCTAGAATTTCTAAACGTTCACAGCTAGAACACTATTTAGGGAGTACAGAGCCGTTTGGGATTCAGTCTGGGTTTGATGCGACTTCTGACTGAAACACGGACATTTGAAGTGTGTGAGACATTCAGGTGACATTCTTAGTCTTTTATACTGCCGTTTTTCAGTTAATCACACTGTAAGTACTTTAACTTAAGCCTGTGATATTAATGATGGAGCTGTTTAGGCTGTTGGCTCTTTTAGCCTGTTAGCTAGCTGACTAGCCTGGTTCTAGTTAAGAGCATAAGTTGTCAGCTCCTAACTAAAAGTGGTACTGCTGTGGCCCGTGTCTTTCCCTTACGTCTCTCATCACATACGCCATGTTATATCTCCTTTAGCCTTAGCTCCACCCAGGGGAGCGTAACATGACATTACTGCTAAAGGAGAAAGGTCTGAAATCTGAGACTGTTCACATTATTCATAACGTACAGTTTTGCTGCCCATTAGCTTTGTTTACATTTGCTAAATTAACTAGCACTTAGAACATAAGCAGTGGCTTTAATAAAGCACTGTCATCCTGTTTTTCTAAAACAAGACAGTAAAATGAAATTAATAAATGAACACTGAGCAAACTGTGTCTCTACATTAGTGTTGTATTGCTGGAGCCCAAATAAAACAGTCCTGTATCTGCATCAGGGGTCTTACAGTAGCGGTCCACACAGCGGGAGATGCAGCGAGTTAGAATTAAAATATAAACAGAATTATCAAACTAATCTGCTGAGAATGCAGAATGAACTGCTCTCCATTCACAGAACTTCACTCACAAGAACTTCACTCATGTCCACCAACATATCATAATAAGAGTCCCATGCAATTCTACTGTTAGATGCATGTTTATTTCATTCGAGAGAATACTGAAATGTTTATTAAGCACACAGTGTACTATTAATTATATAATACCAATAATGCATTTAATAATGATAATAAAACTCTTTATAATCAGTAGAAGTAGTGAATTGTGTTTACAGCAGATGTGCTATTAAGCATCGACTAAGAAGTGCTTAAATGAGGGCATATCTAAAGTTAAAATTCATAAATGAAAGAAGAGCATGGGGGGTGCAACACACCCCTCTTGTACAAGACCACCTTAACTGAAAGTGGTACCAGTAGAAGATAATACATTATTTAATGTGATACTGTACAAAATATATTAAAAATACAATATTATTCATTCATGTATGATTAATGCTAATGAATTTATAATGAACCACAAACATTTTTCATTTTTTCCCTCTGAAAAAATCTTTATCAGGTCTCGATCTGGACTGTGACTCGTATCTAGTGGTCTTAACCACAACCCCATTCTACATGCTTAATCAGGGCTGTTTTTGAATGCATTTTAAATCAAATTAAAATACTCAGTGATTGTTCTTGTTATGAAAACAGTGATAGAGCAGTTCCTCTCTTTCCTGTGTAAAATGCACACTAAACAGTACTGCAACAATTACTTGTTGCAATATTATTAAGCTTCTAAACTAAAGTATTGATGTGAGACTAAATCAGCAGTTTCAAAACTGCCACATCAACATTTGCTGCAACACTACTAAGTGTGTAAGAAAAGCAGACGGCAGCTTTAACTGCAGGCCATTCACTTTTCATTTCCTTGAAATGCGTCGGAGAAGGTTTGGAGAGTGAAAGTGAAAGTGTGCACTGCAACTTTATCTTTTTTCTCTTCGAAAGTTTTACTCCCAGCTGAAACTCTCTGTTCGACCTACCTGGGGTCACACTTCGATTCAAAATGTCCAGAGGTTGGTATTTTTTATTGCAGTTAAAAGGTTTAAACACTGTAAAAGGCTGGTGTTGTGTATGTGCTGTCAGCATTGGGTGGATCTGTGAGTGAGGTGTATTTTGAGCAGTGTGCAAGTACACTGCTACTGTAGACTAGCCTTAGCAGTCTGTGGCTACACTGAACCATCTACAATGCCCACACAGTTCACAATCCGGAGTGGTATTTATGCAGTATGTATTATATATGAATATATATAATTTGAACTCGGTTATGTTGTCCTCACTGGGCAGAGTTTGTGCCTGGTGAACAGATGCATGCTTCATAGTGAAGTGTGTGGCAGTGGCGGTTGTGTATATGTGTTTCCAGTATTCTGTTTGATTGATATTGTTTTGTATTGGTGGAAGGTGATGACTGCACTACTCTCAGAAATAGGCTATAGCCTGACGTTATGTCATTGTGGGAGATAGCACATCTGGAAAATGTAAATCGGCCAAGTTGGCCTGCACTGTTAGAAATAAAGGTTCTGTTCAGGTACATTTTTTATTCATCAAGGTAAAAACAGTGTAAATGTTCCTTCAAAGGTGCAACAGTGGTTTTAAGGTCCGATTGTGAACCTTAAACAAGTTTTTCCAGGTGAAAAGTACAACCCCATTTCCAAAAAAGTCGGGACGCTGTGCAGAATGTAAATAAAAATAGGATGCAATGATATGAAAATCACGTAAACCATATTTTTAAAGGAAAATACTACAAAGACAACATCAAATGTTGAAACAGAGAAATTTTATTGTTTTTTGAAAAATATTTGCCCATTTTGAATTTGATGCCAACAACACATTCCAAAAAAGTTGGGACGGGGGCCTGTTTACCACTGTGTTTCATCACCTCTTCTTTAACAACACTCTGTAAGTGTTTGGGAACTGAGGAGACACTGCTGTAGTTTGGAAAGTGAAATGTTTTCCTGTTCTTGTTTGATACATGATTTCAGCTGCTCATCAGTTCAGGGGCTCATTTGCCATATTTTTCATTTCATAATGTGCAAAATGTTTTTGGTGGTGACAGATCTGGACCGCAGGCAGGTCAGTTTAGCGCCCAGATCCTTTTAATACGGAGCAATGTTGCTGTAATACATGCAGAATGTGGTTTGACATCATCTTGCTGAAAAAATAGGCCTTCCCTGAAAAAGACGTCGTCTGGATGGCAGCATATGTTGCCAAAACATATGTTGTGTTTGTACTATTTACAATTAAATATAGGGTTTAAATGATTTGCACATCATTGCATTTTATTTTTATTTACATTTTGCACAGCATCCCAACTTTTTTGGAAGTGGAGTTGTACATATTTGTACCTTTTCATAACCGAATGTTTTAAAACAGAACAGTAAAATAAAAGCCTGGAGACGAGACGGGGTGTGTGGAGTCAGTACAGCTTAGAACATATCATTTCAGTGGATTATGGTTCAGTTATGTTCCCTGACTAAAGGTACTGAGATGGAGCCTTGAGGGTTCCACCCCAGTGACAAGAGTGACAGTTTCATAAATGAGAGTGTACCCACTTTTTCACAGGACCAGCCAAAGACGTATTTCTGCCTACACCACTGCTAGAGCTTTTAGCTGAACTTAGTATTACAGTGTTTTTCTATTTAGTTTGGGTTTTTAATCTCCTGAGCATGACTTTGGGGTCCTGCTGAAGTGTTTTGTGGTATCTATAAACATTTTCTCTGATCTCTTTCTCAGATTTTGGAGTCCAGACCATGGTCTTTGGGAACACCATGAATTCCCATTTGACCTTTATGAATCTTCTCAGCGAAGAAGTAAAAATACAGGACGTGCACCCAGGGACTAAGAGCAACGCAATCGTTGCCTTTGTCTCCATTGTGTCTCGAGCTGGTACTGATATCACAGCTGCTCTTACTTGCATTCCTGGTAATTATGTACTCAAAGTTAACAGCCTTTATATAAGAGATAGAATCTAAAGGAGACGCCTTTGAGAGTAACGAACCTCTCCATCTCTTCCTCTGCCCTAGTGAACCGACCTGTTGTTCTAGTTGTGCTCCACCACACGTTTGATCCACATTTCGTTGCTCCGGAGAGCCGACACTGTGTTACCCAGAAGAATGTGTTCACTGTGGACTGCCTGTATCACGAAGACCGAGGCCTGCTGAGATGTCAGCGCAATGACCAGGCACTGAAAGCAGTGAAAGAGCATCTGATATCTAAAGGAGCATCACCAGTTCGCTTTGAACAGGTAAAATAAAAAGGAAACTGGTTTTATCAGTTTATACTGTTTAGGGCTGTCGGGATCCTCAGAGACCTCTGATGACTTCTGGGAATTAAATTGATCTAGAATGCTCCCCTTTTCACACTGTTCTAGAATGTTCTTCCCTTTTACCCTGCTCTAGAATGCCCTCCTCGTTTGCATTGTTATAGAATGCTTTCCCCATTTGCATTGTTCTAGAATGCTCTACCCTTTCAAATGGTTCTAGAATGCTCTCCCCATTTACACTGTTCTAGAACGCTCTCCCCATTAACACTATTCTAGAACACTCTCCCCCATTTGCACTGTTCTAGAATGCTTTCCCCATTTACATTGTTCTAGAATGCTCTATCCTTTTAAATTGTTCTAGAACGCTCTCCCCAGTAACTTCTGATAACTTCTGATAATTAAAAAAAAATGTGTTAAAAATACGTTTAGTTCATTTTTGTTTGATATAATTGTCATGCTTGTTGTATTTAATGTTGTATTTATTCTGCTGGTAAAAAATAAAAAAACAATCTCACTCTAGGCCTTCTTGAAGTTCTAGATACCATACCTTTTCAACTTATAAGAACAAACAGTTTGTACATGAATGTTCTCGGTAAGATTCTTGCTCTATCTATCTTACTCTGTGTGACTGAGCTGACCTCCATCTCTCCTCCTGCAGGTGACGGCTGGAAACTGGGAACTGATGTTCTGGATACTTGCACTGATACACATCGCCCTGATTTTCGTGGGTTGTCTTTCCCTCTGGTATCTTCTCGTGGTGGTCTTTTTTGTGGTTCTCAAGAAGAAGTCTGGCTATGGTGAACGGATTCTTTGGCTTTTTCTTCTGTTCTCTGTCTTGGTGTTTCTCGTTCTCATCATTCAATACTTCACGGCTTCAGACACTTCTGATAACTTCTGAATCTGTCCGACGCAGCACTTCTGAACAAAAGACTCAAATATTATGAAAACATAGACATGCAATAAAGAAAATAATGCACGATTTTACTGAAAACACATGAAGTTAAAAATGAAGTTGTTTTGGTTGTTGAAGGCGTCTCTCTTTTTGATTGGATGGTGGGTTCTCTTTGAGAGGTTTGGCTCCTCTCAGTGTGTCTTCCTCTTGCTTTCCGTCTGTTTAATCTACCTATTTGTATCCTAACTGCACTAGTCAGTGCAGCACACATGGAGGAATGGTTCTCCTTTTGAGTTTTGGTTCCTCTCAGTGGTTCTCCTGATGCTCTTAAGGCCAGAACACACTGACCCAACAAATCAACCAAAAATCCACACCTTAGTTTTGTGGTCTGTGTCTTTTTCTGATTGTTAGGAGTTTGTAGAATGTTCTTCCCTATTCACGCTGTTCTAGAATTCCCTCCATTCACACTGTTCTAGAATTTCCCTCTTTCACACTGTTCTAGAATGTTCTCCCCTATTCAAACTGTTCTATAATCCCTGTATGCTCACTGTTATAGAATGCCCTCTACCACTCACATTGTTCTAGAAAGTTTTTTAACCTCAGTCACGTTGTTCTAGAATGTTCCTCCCCATTAGATCGAGAATATTCTATACCACTCACAATGTTTTAGAACTTTTATCCCTATTCATGTTGTTCTAAAATTCTTCCCTATTCACTTGATTCTATGTTCTCCCTTTCTAGTGTTCTCCCTATTCACATTGTTCTAGAATGCCCCATCGACATTGATCTAAAATGCTCCCCGTCATGCTGTTCTAGAATGCTCTCCCCATTAACACTATTCTAGAACACCCTCCCCCATTTGCACTGTTCTAGAATGCTTTCCCCATTTGCACTGTTCTAGAATATTATTTTTCACAGAAATCTGTTTGTTTTCTCAGTTTTTTTTTTCTGGACATTCTAAAGACAGTTAGAACATGAGGATGTTTGTAGGGAAGAGCTGGAACAATGTGGTCAGAGCTGTAGGGACGTTTTCCTGCCACTATTGTGGGGCTGCAGCTGCATATCTGGAAAGTTTTGGGTTTTGGGCTGTAAATTTATTCATTTATATTCATTAATGCCTCGAAATGAATGCTGTGGCCTGTCTGCATCCCCAAGATTATTTACAAATAAATAAATAAATAAATACAACAAAATAAATAAAAACTTCAACTCTTAAAAATGTGCATACTTGGTTCATTTCATATAATATTATATTTAGTTTTTCATGCTTCTGTGTAGTTTTCTGTTAAATATCTGCTTTCTGAAATGTGGGTCTCTCGCTTTTACACAGTAGTATTTGTGAAAAATAAATAATACCCTGTTTAAACCTGTGCTCTGCTGTTGTGTCCATTTTACATAAACTAAAATGAGCTAAAATTACATTTGAGCAAACATTTTTATTGTTATTTTATATTTTTTTCTGCATTTTGAGTTATAGAGTAGCTTTAAATATGAATACTTCATTCACACTTTTTACCATAAATGCTGATCTAGATCACTGCCAGTAAAAGTGAAAGTGTGAAAGCGTCCGTCTGTCAGCGTCTGAAGGTTTCGCCTCTAACTGACCGGCTCCACTCAACTCAGTGGGGTTTAGACTTCATCATGGCTCTGGGTTTGTGTCTTTATACGGTTATAAAGCTAAGTGTTGTTAATGTGGTGTAACTGATGTCAGAGTGAGACTCAAACTGATGAGACTCGTGGGACTGTTGCAATACGAATGTGCGCATTTACAAACAGATGTCTGCTCCTGTTTAAACCTTTCGTTATTAACTACATTCCGTTGTTTCGAGGCTCAGGGTTATTACATCGTTCATACGCGTCTCTTTTACATGTTTATTTTCATGTTAGAAATCACAACAGTAGTAATGTAGCGTTAATGTCACTTCTCAGTCAGTGTAATGTAACACATGTAGGCCCAGCTGTGTAGGGAGGTTCTGAACTTTTGGGTACCTAGTCTAGTTCCACACAGTTATTCCGTTCTAAGTCATCCATGTTGGGTTTTCAAAGCATCCTCAACTCCAGCTACTGTTAGTCTAATCAGGCTTCATGAAGATTAGCAGACTAGTCCTGTCTCAGAACACCTGAACTGGTTTAAGCAGAATGACCCTGAGCCACGTCTGTGAAAGCACCTCTTCTAGCTGAGCAAGTGATGTTGTCTAAGCTATACGAGTTGTTGTAGGCAAAAGTTTGAACACCCTCAGTCAAATGACGTGTTGTTGATTTTCTAAAGGAAAACTTTATGCCACTTTATTAGAAACACCTACCTTCTGCTTCCACTCATTGGCCACTTTATTAGAAACACTTACCTTGTGCTTCCACTCATTGGCCACTTTATTAGAAACACCTACCTTCTGCTTCCACTCATTGGCCACTTTATTAGAAACACCTACCTTCTGCTTCCCCTCACTGGCCACTTTATTAGAAACACCTACCTTGTGCTTCCACTCATTGGCCACTTTATTAGAAACACCTACCTTGTGCTTCCACTCATTGGCCACTTTATTAGAAACACCTACCTTGTGCTTCCACTCATTGGCCACTTTATTAGAAACACCTACCTTGTGCTTCCACTCACTGGCCACTTTATTAGAAACACCTACCTTGTGCTTCCACTCACTGGCCACTTTATTAGAAACACCTACCTTGTGCTTCCACTCACTGGCCACTTTATTAGAAACACCTACCTTGTGCTTCCACTCACTGGCCACTTTATTAGAAACACCTACCTTGCACTTCCACTCACTGGCCACTTTATTAGAAACGAAATGTCTGCGGTTTAAATAAGACACCCGCGGGGTGTGGGGTGTCCTGACATTTTCCTGACAGGAAAACTGCATTTTCATCAATTATGTTTTACTCAATTACATTTATGTTAAAATGAAGATCAAATGTCCAGAAATTTAAATGTGTCCAAAAAGAAGGTTTTATGGGGTGTCCTAATTTTTTCACATTACTGCATAGGCAGCATTCTCTGAATTTGTAGCCTCTGACTCACCAAACAAGGGACGTTAAAGTAATATAGGTGCCCTATCATCTAGGGTCATTTGCTGCAATGCAGACAATGCCAGACTAAGAAAGTGAGGCTGCTGCAGTAACTGCAGATACGTTCACCCCGATTTCCCTGAAATGCATGAATTTGCGAAAGTGGAAAGCGAAAGTGCTCCTGCAGCGTTATTTACGGTCTCACTCTGAGGGTTTTATCTCTACATGAAACACTCTGTTTGACCGACCTGGGTTTAGCCCTCAATTCAGAATGACTAAAGGTAAGTATTTATGTGTTTTTACTGCATTTTAACACGGCTGGTGTTGTGTGAGTGATGTGACTGTGTACAGAGCTTTATGTGTGCATATGTGTAGAGATGTGCAGACAAACACAGACATTTATATGTGTATATAATTTAAGAAGGTATTGTCAGGGTTTCCCGAAAGTGTCCTTGAACAAATACCATAGTTGAATGATAGAGAGACTATCATTTTGAACACTCTCTCTCCCCCATGGTTGCCATGATGGGTGCTCTATGATGCTTTCAGAAAGCACAGTCTCAGTAAGTGTTTATTTGCTGAGAAAAACACTAAAATTGAGAAAAACAGTACTTTTACATTATTTATTGTTACTCATTTGTATTTATTACTACAATAAAAGCATGAATAGAATTTACACTGATTTTGTGTTTGTTTAATCATTTCCAAACCTCTCCTCCCTGGAGGAAACCAGGGGGCTGGGAATGTGTGATTTTTAGTTTGACTATATGCTTTAAAAATAACACTCGTTCTAAAATGAAACATTAATCATTGATATTTGATTTTTTGTTAATTACAAAAACAAAAATGTAAATAAGTGAACACATCCTCTACAGAAAACAAACTTTTGCACATTTTTTATACATTCTATTTTATTTTATTTACTGAATTTAACAAACTGGATGCGTTTATTTATGTTTACTTACAAAATCAACAGAACATGTAACATAATGCGAATATTCAAACATTATCAAAGACCATTAGTGAAAGTGTTTATATTTTGCATTTATTTGTAATTTAATACAGAAGTTTTTTTTATTATTATTTTTAGCATAAATGATATTTACAGCATAACAATTAGAGTGAATCGTTGAATGAACTACATGATGTTCAGTGTTTCTTAGTTTTGCTTTGTGCCCCTTTTGCTTTAATGACTGTGCAGACGTTTATGATGATAAGTGTGTTTTTATTTTATTTTATTTTATTTTATCCAAATTTTAAAACTTTTTGTTTTTTTAGGTTTAAATTCAAGTGCGGTTTGAATTTCAATGTGGAGGGGGGGCCTAGATAAATTAGAATTCTGGTTTTACTTTCGCTTTAAAAGTCTCACTAATTAAAAAAAAGGGGGAAGTGGATCGATATTTGATTTTTGATGACGTCATTCAATTTGCTGTTCATGTCTGAAGAAAATTTCATACTCAAAAACCTCTAAATACAAACCAGGGACAGAAAACAGACTGTAAAAGAAGAACGATGAAGAGACGAAAAGAGAGATATATTATATGGACAAAAGTATGTGGACACCTGACCATCACACTTACACAAGCTTCTCATTCTAAAATCAAGGAGAGTGTGGGAATTTGTGCCCATTCAGTAAAAAGGAGCATTTGTGAGGTCAGACACTGATGGGGACGAGAGGGTCTGGCTCACAACTGACATTCCAAAGGTGTTCAGTGGGGTTGAGGTCAGGGCTCTGTGAGGGCCACTGGAGTTCCTCCACACCAAACTGGTCACTCCATGTCTTTATGGAGCTGCTTTGTGCACAGGGGTTCAGTCATGCTGGAACAGGAAAGGCTCTTCCCCAAAGCTGGAAGCAGATAACTGTGTAAAATGTCTTTGTGCTGCAGCATCAACATCACCCTTCACTGGAACTGAGGGGCCCAAACCCTGAAAACCAGCCCCAGCCCATCATCCCTCCTCCACCAAACTACTGTTGCCACTGTGCATTCCAGTAGGCAGCATCTCCTGGCATCTGCCAAACCCAGATTCCATCCATCACTCCAGAGAACACGGTTCCACTGCTCCAGAGTCCAGTGGCGGCACTTTACACCCCTCCATCCGACACTTGGCATTGAGCATAGTGATCTTAGGCTTGTATGCAGATGTTCAGCCATGAAAACTCATTACATGAAGCTCCTGATGCTCAGTTCTTGTGCTGATGTTTCTTCTAGAGTCAGTTTGGAACTCTCTAGTGAGTGATTCAACAGAGGATAAGCAACGTATTTCAGTACTTGGTGGCTCTGCTCTGTGAGTTTGAGTGGTCTAGCGCTTCGTGGCTGAGCTGTTGTTGCTCCTAGATGCTTCCATTTCACAATAATAGCACTTACAGTTGTCTGGGGCAGATCTAGCAGGACAGACATTTCACAAACTGACTTGTGGTAAACATGGCATCCTGTGACAGAGCCACGTTTAAAGTGACTGAGCTTTTCAGCATAACTTCAGCTTGAGGTAGTTAAAAAAAACTAAACTAGAACTGCAGGATGTTTTGTGTTGGTGTGGTGAGGCATGTTCGACACTAATCACCATGCTTGTTTGTGCTGCATGCTGATGTCTCTATTAAATATCTTAAATTACAAACACTATATCGATTAAGAATTAAATCAAATTAAATCGTGGGCCGAAAGTATCATTACACCCTCAAATATATGAAGAGTTTTATTCCAAAACAATGAAATATATATACCTTATATGCCCTATAAAGGTGGCATGGGTCACAATATAGCAATAGTTTGTGTGTGTGTAAAACCCACTCCCAACAATGGTGAAATAAAAAAAGAAAGATATATAACACTTCTGCAAATCTTACTGTACAATTACTCTTCATTTGAGCTTAACATAATGGGGAAAAATATAAAACGTGATGTGTGGAAAACTTAGAGTGCATTTCTTTATTTCTTATTTTTATTTTTTTCCACTGTGTTAACCTCAGCAGCTGAGTGTTAACTTATTACTTAGAAAATCAAACCTTTGCATGCAATTGTACTGTTTGGGTCAGTTTAGAACTGTAAACTATACATACGTGACTCTTCTTAAACTCAGATAAACAACAGAAACTCACAGTCTTAGCTAATATAGATATTGTAGCTCTGGGGCATGGCTACTCATCATTCTTTGGAGTTTTTGGTTCTGTTTATTCTTATTTTTCAGTAGTGTTCTTCATACAGAAAGTGTTTTGTGTGTTATTGCATTATTCTTATGTTAAGGAGAGGTTTGGATTCAGTCAGTGGTGGACGAAGTACACAAACCATGTACCTGAGTTAAAGTAGAGATACCCAAGGTAAAATATGACTCCAGTGAAAGCAGAAGTTCC